TGAGCCACCCAGGCGCCCTTGTGTATTCTTTTTAATCAGAAAAGTTAAATGACTTTTTCCTATGATCCTATATAATTGATCTAAATATATATTGCTTTTAATAATTGCCATTCATTATCTTTTTAAAGATTTTACTTTTTATTTGAGAGAGAGCACAAGCAGGGGGAGCAGCAGAGGGAGAGGGAGAAGCAGACTCCCTGCTGAGCAGGGATTCCCCATGGGGGGGCTCGATCCCAGGACTCTGACATCATGACCTGAACCGAAGGCAGAGGCTTAACTGACTGAGTCACCCAGGCGCCCCATCGCCATTCATTTTTATACTGTAGTTCTTAAGGTAGGTTTAAATTAAATAAATTCCAAGGTCTTTTATAATTTAAGCAGCTATGATATAAATTTGAGATTTCAATACCTTGTGATTACAGGTCAAACTTAAAGCCACTTAAACAAAATACCATATAAAGGGCTAATAATTTACTGTGAGAAATTGTGGTGAGGTCAGTTCTCTATATGAATTCTTTTTACAGTCTGCATTGTTTAAATTTAGTTTTATTATCCATGAGGAAAATGAACAGATCGTTTCTTATGACAGCAGCTAATATTTTTGGAGTAAAGTGTGCTGGGCATTGTGCTGTACTCTTTATGTGCATAATTGCGTTTTAATCCCTTCAGTAATGCTGTAGAGGGGTGTCTAATTTCCTGCCAACTTATTCTTAATGAATAAACTGAGACACTAGCCTGAGGTCACATGGTTAGTAAAAGGGGCAGAGTCAGGCTTTGAACCCAGGTGGTCTGGCTGCAGAGCCCATATTGTTCATCAGAAGGCTGTTCAGTGTGGTGCCTGAATTGTTTTAAAAAATACGAGACCAGATTTTGAGAAATTTCAGAAATAATTGTAGATAGTTGTTTACTTGTTCCTTGGAGAAAATTAGCCCAGAAAGAGTTTATTACCTTTGATAAAGTGATAGGATCTTTATCATTCTTTGGATCCAAATCACTACCAATGACATTATCTACTGGTTCTGAATCACATTGCAGTTTGCTGTGACATTCAGATAGTTTTCTACTCTTTTTAGATATTAGTAACATTAACAAAACTAATAGTGGATTTGTAGTTTAATAGAAAAAGGAAATAACACGTTTCTATCTCTGACATTTCACTATAAATATATATATTCTAAAACCATTGCATTGAGATAATATGAAATATTCTGAATTCCAGAAAAGTACTATTTCCTAGGTTCAGTACATAAACTACTCCCTGGGGAAATATGGCAATCTTCTAAATTTATCTTTTCCATAGCTGCCTGCATCATATTAAAATCGTTAGAAATATCTGTCAAAATGTGGCTCAGTCGGTTAAGCGGCTGCCTTCTGCTCAGGTCATGATCCCAGGGTGCTGGGATCGAGCCCCACATTGGGCTCTCCGCTTAGCAGGGAGTCTGCTTGTCCCTCTCCCTCTGCCCCTTCCCCCCACCTTGTGCTCTCACTTGCTTGCGTTCTCTCTCTCTCAAATAAATAAATAAAATCGTAAAAAAGATAAATATCTATCAAAGGATATCATCTCAATATCCACATTTGAAACTTTGCCACAAAAAATTTTTCACTTGTGAAAACAATCACCCAAGCAGGATACTCTATCCTTATTAACCCAACAAATGTTCAAAACCTGTGTCTTGAATCTGTCCTGAGGGGTCTTTAGGTAGTTTGAACTATGCTTTCCTTCATGTTTTCAAATGCTTATAAGCTATTGCTAGAACCCAGGCTCGAGTTTTCTGTTGGAAACCTGCCCCTTTACCTCTGTGCAGCGGGTCGAGGCTGGGCCGTGTTTCTCATCACGATGTTCGGGTTGCCCAGCATCACGTTGGAACACTTCACCACAAGCAAGCTGTCTGTGCTCTCAAGTGGTCCCCTGATGGCAGGCTGCTTTCCAGTGGTTGTAGTGATGGACTGCTGACGATATGGCCCCATGACCCGGGTGCGAAAGCCCAGGTTCAACCGCTGAAAGTTATACCCCAACCTACAGCAGTCAAGGTAAGACATCCAATAGCTTTCCAAGTTGCTCTTCACTCAGAGATCATTGACTATCCTTCACACATGAGAACGAAGCCATTAAGGCAATGCTTTGAGATTTTCTTCCCCCAGAATTTGTTTTGGATTTTGCCATCACTGTCTTGAAAGACAACCCTATTTATACACCCCCATGTGTCAGATTTTGTAGTTGTAAGTAACTGAAACCAGAGGTAAGCTTGAGCTTCTGCAAAAAAGTAAATGTATTTTCTCTTACGACTGAGGAGTCCTGGGTACATACAGCTGCTTTCAATACTGTCCAGATCTAGGGCCTTAAATAATGTCATTAGAACCCTCTCTCTTTGGCTCTTGGCTCTGCCTGACTCTGTTGGGTTTCATTCTTTATTCAGACAACATTTTGTGGGTAAGATGGCTCTTACGGCTTCAAATTCAGATTCTCCCTGATGGGAGCTGATTAAGAAACTATGCTCCTTGTAACTCTGGTAGAAAAGTCCCAGGCAGGACTCTGGTGTGACTTTGGGCACATTCTCATCTCTCAGCAGATAACTGTGGTCAGAGAGATGGGTTCACTGGCTGTCCAGGTCTAGGTCATGAGCTCACACCCATGGAAAGGAGACCCACTGTGAGAAGGAGGAGGAAGGGTGCTGCACAGTTAAACCAATATTCTACCATTTTCTGGATAATATTTTTTTATTTCTCTGATATTAAATTCTTATTCCTAGTAAAAAAAAATCCATACTCTCATTCCTTTGGTGTCATAGATATATGTCTTGGCCTCAACATAGTCCCAGAATATTTATCACCCACAGAGCAAAGAAATGGTTCTACTTTATTAACTATGAGCAAATTTGTTAGAATGAGAACTTACAAAGTTATCATGGAGTTTCCTGACATAGGGTGTAATATGTAGCACCTGCTGCTAAAGCACAGTGGTACTCTGGCTTGTGGTTTTTAATATCCACAGGACATTAAGAATGATTTTAGGTCCAAATTCCCATTATTAATGATTTGGGAAAAATCTAGGGAAAATGTATGTAAAATATTCTGTCAGCAAACAAAATACAAAAACAAAATAAAGCAAAACAAAAACCCAACACATGAAAAACCCAAGCCAAGCAAAACAAGTTACTTTCTTATGTGCCTTGTCAGAAATACAGTGAATTGAACCAAGAGTTTCTGAAGCCTGAGCAAGCCAAGCCTTGTGACAGCTAAAGGCAGGATGGACATGTAGATAAGGATATACAGATATATATATATAACTGAAATATTTCTTAGAATGTCCTTTAAAATTATTGTTACTCATCATTTCAATTATCAGTATAAATATGCAATACTGAATCTTATTTTTCAGGATTACCTATAGTAATTTATAAGTAGGGAATCAAAGGCAATTTTCCTTTCTAAAAAAATGTATTAGGAGTTGAAATGCATGAGAGTTTTTGGGGTGTGAGCAATTATGTGTGGCTCCATTTTGTCCTTTCTTCTCTGACCTAGAACCTAAAGACACAGGCAGACAAATGAGAGAAAGGCTTCATTTCAGAACCAGATTCTGGTGGGCACATGTCACCTACTCCAGCAGCAGATTTTTGCCCTATAGGACATGTTGAGTATATTTTTTAAAATATATTATTGGATGCTTTTTCTTGGTTTAATATACTGGCAGTTCTCAAAATTTGAGGAAGGCACCTAACAGGTGATTTCTAGTCCCTTAGAAGTAATCTCTAGAGAGTGCCATTGCTCCGGCCTTCAGATCAGAGCTCCAGGAGAGCTGGGGTGTGCGCAGACCTCTGGACTCCTGCTTACCTGAGCGTGTCACTTTCACAAGTTCACTTTTTCCAAGGCTGAGCTGCCTGTGTGATTATTTGAACTTTCAAGGCCATGGATTGGTGTCCCTGGCAGTCTGCAGTCCTTGCTGTTGGAGGTGGAATGGAAGATGGACACTTACGTGTTTTGGATGTAAATACTGGTCAAAGCATCCAGACCCCAAGCACAAACTCACAGGTAAACATCTCTGTGGGAGTTTGCCTTCACTTTGATCTTCTAGAACCTTGTGAAAATGATTGCTGATAGAGCATAGGACCCAAACACACCTCTCTGTACTTTCTGAGTCTATAAGGATTTCAGTTCTGGACAGTTGGTTTTTGTAAAATTTTCTCTGGGAGTCGCAAGTTGATCTGTGTGTCCTTTCCTTCCCCCTCTATTTCCCACATTTCCCTTCTTTCTTAGCATTGCTTTGTGCTCATGTTTGTAGGTTCATTGCACCTAAACCTATTTGTATACTTAGTCTTTTGTTGTCTTGGGATCAAATTTCCTAGAACTAACGTAATTCCTCTAACACCTTAACCCCAGCTATGGACTGGAGGATGGATGTGGACAGAGCATACTGCCTAGTAATCCATTCGAAATACATTCATAATGAATCAGACTTTGTCATAACTCTGTATTTGTTTTGGCCATTATTACAGATTTGTTCGCTAATCTGGCTACCTAAGACAAAGGAGATTGCAAGTGGCCAAGGTAGTCCCAAGAACGATGTGACTGTGTGGGCCTGTCCTGGTCTGGCCAGGTCGCGTGGATTTTTGGGTAAGTACGTGGGTGAGTAAAATGCTGTGTATCCATAGCTAAGTGAGCTGTCATTGGCCCGAAAAGCCCTGAATGAAAGATCTTCTCCTCTGGCTCTTTGAAGTATTTATTTTATCAGAGGGAAAAGGCCTACACCCACCCCACCTCAGGGCGTGTATAGATGAGTGTTTCTGAATTTGACTAAGGCTGTTCATTACTTACAGTGGTCCTGTCTTCTTGCATACATGCATGGATGAAGCAGTGATGATCAGGGATAGTTTCTAAACTCTTCTGGAACTCTGGAGTTAGTTATCATAACTCACCTTTCCTTATTTTGCAGAAGACCAGCAGTGCTGCAATGTGTGGGTTTATTGAATATGCATCTACTGTGTGTGAGGCAATTTTGGGGGGTGTTGGGGATATACATATAAACAAGACAGACATTATCTTTGTCCTCATGGAGCCTATACTTTAGTGGGAAGAAACAGACTGAAAACCCTAAATATATACAGCGTTAGATAGTGATAATACTGTGACTCTCTTTGTAGATTCTGAGAATGTTATTCGGCAACAACAAAACACCCTTAACAGAAAGACTTCCTGCTCCTGCTGGTCATTCTGACCTCAGAATGACTTTGATATCCTTAAGTGTTATACCATGTGATTTGGTAAATAAAAATGTAGGCAGCTCTTGACAGAGCTACCTGGGTGGCCAGGCATGAGTGTAGGAGGGACACGAGTTGATCCTTTGCATATTTTAAATCATAAGATATGTAATTCATGGGATATGTTTTCTGATTAGGGAAATATTTTTATTTATTTATTTGAGAGAGAGAGAGAATGAGTGGTGGGGAGGGGCAGAGGGAGAGGGAGAAGCCGATTCCCCGCGGAGCAGGGAGGCCAACATGGGGCTCGATCCCAGGACCCAGAGATCATGACCTGAGCCGAAGGCAGATGCTTAACTAACTGAGCCACCCAGGTGCCTTAGAGAAATATTTTAAATCAAGTCTTAAACCTGGTTCTTTACAAAACTACATTTCCAGTAGCTAGTTAGAACTTTCAGTGAGGTGGGGGCCTCTGACAGATCCTGGAGTCAATTTGCTGATCCTGGGAATAAGGAATGAACTGAACCAGTACATTTTCCTTTTTCTCTAGCCTTGACAAGCTATAAATTCTTTAGCTGTAATGCCTTGTGCTTTTTTCCATTGATATTAGACAGAGTTCCAAAGAGTACATTTAACCTTTTCTCCTCTTAACCTGTTTATGGTTGGAGAAGATGCAGTTACTTTCCAGTTCTTAGACACTAATGATCATCTCTGACCCAGTAGTTTCTTCCACATGCAATATTTCCCCAAAGTATTTAGCAGGGTGGTTGTTATATTAATGTGTATCATGTGGTTAGCATCAAAAAAATGAAATAGAATAGTAGAGAATGGAAACAATGTAAAAGCAGACAGTATTTCGTGGAACTTTTGTTATAGTTCTGCAGCACCACCTACCTGTCTATATGTCTAGCTAGGGGGATGGTCGTCTCAAAGAACCAGTACAGTTTACACCTCAAGTGAGCTCTGGAACTTCGATATATTTCAAAACAAAATATAGTTTTGAACTGTGGATTGTGGCCATAAAGCTTGGAAAAAGCTATTCTAGATTATCTACTATTATCTACGCCTTTCCTTTGTCTCACCCTGTTACAACCACACTCATGATTCTCTGGGGGGAAAATTCAGTTGAAGAGGCCTCCCCCATCTAACTGCAGAAGAAAGACAACTCGCCATCCTTCCCCTCACCCTCCAAAAGTTGTAATTTACAAGCTTTGAAACAGGAATAGGTAACTTTCTAGCTTATAGGTGAGATCTGGCCTTTGATTTGGTTTCATCAGTCCCTAGCACATGCATCGATAGGTGGTCTCCTTTATAAACAGCTGCATAAAGAAAACAAAACTTTTAATCCTTTCAGTAATAATACTCTTGGAATTTAAGGATGTAAATCCTAAAGGATGACCTTTGTCTGAGGTAAAGACTGCATTTCCCACTTAATCTAGTAAATTAAGATTTTCACTAATATGAGAGAAGTGTTTCAAGAATGCCTTTGCTTCTAATCCAAACTCCATTTTCCTAACAAATTCTGGAAGTAGTTGTCCTTTTTTTTTTTTTTTTTTTTGTCAAGACATTTTTCAAAAGCCTGCTTTGGAAAAGATTTGGAATTTTTTTCTCTGTTACTCCTTATCTACTCCCCCCCCCTCCACTTTTCTTCATCTCAACACATCATAATAAAGAATGAAAGCATAGTTATCACCTACTATGTTTATTGAGTTGACTTTTAAGTTTAAAAGCATTCATGTAATGTTTTATATTTATCCTAACTAAATTAAGTGGTTTTCATTTATATTGCTTTAATTTTTAAATGTTTAATTAAAAAAAATAAGGGACACTGGTCTTCCATAGGAAAAGAGATTCTTCTTTGCTCTGGGTTTGGAGAATGGGCTAAACGGTTAGAGCACTGAATTTGATTCTAGTTCTGGTTCTGCCATTAATTAGCTTTGTGACCTGGGACAAGGCAGCTGATATTCCTGAATTTTTTTTTCATCTATAAAATAAGGGAGCTGCTTTGTATCTATGAATCTAAATTTTTTAATGCACTGATACACCCAGGGCCAATCCCACGTCTCTTTGGGGGCGTGTGGGTATGTGCATGCATGAGCATGCAGGAGAGCATTGGGAGTGATGTGTGTGGATGGAAAAATTCCCAAGTGTCTGAGATATGTCTCCTTCGGGAGTGGAATATGTGTATGCACCCCTTGATGCTGAGAATCTGGTGTCAGAACACAAGATTATTTCTGAAATTCCAGAGCTCAGTTGAGTTGTAAACTGTACTGGTTCTTTGAGATGACCATCCCCCTAGCTAGATTTTATGTGTGTCCCCAAATACCTCCTCAATCAAGAACTTACCCAACCTCTTTCCTTCCCTCTATCCTCCTGGCTCCAGCCTCCTTTCATGGAGTCTGTTTTGTTTGCTTTGGCTTGAAAGTTTGATTGTTAACAGTCACTGTTGGGTTAGGATAGATTTTGCCAAGTATTTTCCAAGGAACATGAGCCACGTGAGAAGTTCACATCAAAAGGACTCTGGTCAACTAAGTTTCAGAAATGCTGCTTATTATAGTCTTTTCTGCCAAATAAAGCAGTCTTGAAATAAGGAATCCTGTTTAATTTTTTTTTTTAACCTAGAGATCCCAAACTAATGAGAACATTAAACACTTTTTTCAGTTTTTAATACCTATTAACCTCATATAGAATTATTGTTTCACAAAATGTTCTTTGGGAGATGATCAGTTAGATAACAGAAAAAAGGGGACTGTCTCCAGAATTACATAACTAAGAGCTTTTTGGGTCCTTTCCTATTAAGCTGCCTCAATTTATTTGATTAGCTCCTTAAAACCTAGGTCCCAAGGGGATGACTTTTTGGAGAGGATAAGAAGAAGGATGGGATGGGTGGCAGGAGAACAGCAGTAGCAATTCCTGGGTGTTGGTGGATTAGAGAAGATAGAACTGATAAGGGTTTGGGGCATGAGGGGTGTGGTGGGCTAAATGATCCTGCCACGCTATCCTCGTCAAATCCCTGGAGGCTGTGATTGTGACCTTATTCAGCAAAGAGGTCTTTGCTGATGTAATTAAGTTGAGGATTGTGAGGTGAGATCATCCTGGATTATCGAGATGGGCCCTAAATCCAATGACAAGTGTACTTCGAAGAGACACACAGAAGAGAACAAGTACATGGAAGAAAGGGCCATGTGACCACAGAGGCAGAGAATAGAGTGATGTGGCCACAAATCAAAGGTAGGAGGCACGGGTTGGAATCTCTCCTGGAGCCTCCAGAGGGAGCTAGCCCTGCCAACTCCTTGATTCTGGACTTCCGGTCACCAGAGTTAGGAGAAAATTTCTCATGTCTCAAGCAGTGTGTGGTAATTTGTTATGGCAGCCCTAGGAAACTAATAAAAGGGGGGAAGAGCTCTGAAAGGGAAACCCAGTGAAGCAAAACCTCAGCCACTTTAGGTTGCTGCCCACAGTCAGCTCTGACTGGTGTTTACCACAGCAAAGGCACAGTGGGAGGGCCAGCCTCAAACATGGCAGGTTTCAGAGATGCCTTCATCTGGGGAGGGGAAACGTGGCCCCCCCACCCCCCGTCAGCAACAGCCCATGTAGTGTGGGACATGAACTGTCTTCCCTTCTTCCCACAGGCCCCAGAGGCAGAGTGCTGCACCTGGCTTTGAGTCCAGACCAGACCCGGGTGTTTTCTGCTGCAGCTGATGGCACAGCCTGTGAATGGAATTGCTGTCGCTCAGCTCCTCCACGAGCTCCAGTTTCCTCGCTTCGAAGTGAGAATAGTGACAGTGGCCTTGTCTTCTCCATGGATTTGTTGTGACGATCAAACAGGATGAAGTGCTTTTTCTGAGGTGAATGTTCTCGTGACCTTCTTTCTCAGGTTACTTTATTTGCTCTGCTTCCTCCTGTTGCATTTCCCAGACATTGTCTTTGCCTCTTCTCTATTTTCCCCTCCCTCATCCTTCTCTTCTTCTTCCTCCTTTTTCTTCTTTTCTATCTCTTCCTTGTTAGGGATGTGTTGCCACTGTGATAGAATATCTATAGCAGAGATTTCCAAACACCTTTCTCCCTCTTGACTTTTCTCCCAGTCTCCAGCCTCATATTTCTTTCTGCCTCTGGATATTTCCTTTCTGAGATCCCTTCCTGTATTTAGCTTAAACCAAATACATTAAAAACATCACTTATTCACTTGAAAAATATTGGTTAAAATCCTACTATATGTTAGGCAGTATGTTAAGCATGCACATTATTTCCTCTCAAAACGAGATCCCCTGTAGGACTCCTTTGACCCTCTTCATGGTCTCATCCCTATCTTGGTCATCCCATCATTCAGGGAATCTCCTGATTATTCTACTCCATGCTTAATCCTTTCACACCTTGTTCTCTTCTGTTTCATTCTAGTCATGTCCTGAATACCTATGACCACTTGGTTGTAATTCCTCTGTTTTTCCTGTCTTTATTCTTCATGGGTCTCCACACTGTTAGGTTACATTTCTAAAAGCATGGTGGTGATCTTCTCAGCCCCCTGCTCAGAAACTCTCAATGACTCCCTATTACATAAAGCCATCACTTAAACCTTAGGGTCCTGAGCTCTAGACCTGCCATAGACTGACCAAGTGACCTTGCAATGTGGTCATAACATTTACAAGAACAGAAATTTGGATTTGATAATTGTTAAGCTTTTTTTAGGCTCAATCAGGCCACTGTTCTCTCTCTCTCTCTTTTTTTAAGTAGTCTCCATGCCCAGCGTGGAGCCCAACATGGGGCTTGAACTCACAACTCTGAGATCAAGACCAGAGCTGAGATCAAGAGTCAGACTCTTACCCGACTGGGCCACCTGGCACACTTGTTCTATCTTTTAAATGTTAATCCTTGCTCATCTCCTTTGTTGACCCTGGGCTAAGTCTTGCAATTTCCTGCCTTGGTGCCTTTGTCAGAACTTTTCTTCTAGTCTGAAATTCCTACTACTCTCTTCCTTTTCTTTGCTCATTTAAGTCTTAACCTCTCCAGGAAGTGTTTCTAGATGATGTTACTTGGGTTTGAACTCTTGGCACCAGTCTATACCACCCACTTGAACATTTCCTGTACCCTACAGACTTCCTTGTACCTACTCTCTGCCAACACCTTTCCATTATTCTGACCTCTATCACTATAGATTAGTTTTGTCTTATGCCAACCTGCAGATAAATGGAATCACACCCTGTATATCCTTTTTGTCTGACTTCTTTCACTCACTTTTAAGTTTGTAATATTAATTTATGTTGTAACATGTAACTGTAGGTTTTTCTCTTTCATTGCTGTGTAATACTCCATTGTATAAATGTATGACAATTTTTGATCCATCTTATTGTGGATGAATATTTGAGCTATTTTCAGTTTTGACTCTAAGAATAAAGTTGTGGGGCACCTGGGTGGCTCAGTTGGTTAAGTATCCAACTCTTGATTTTGGCTCAGGTCATGATCTCAAGGTTGTGAAATCAAGCCCTATGTCCGGCTCTGTGCTTAATGGGGAATCTGTTTGGTGGAGTCTCCCTTTACCCCTCCCCCTGCTCACATGCCCTCTAAAAATAAATAAATCTTTAAAAAAAAGAATAAAGTTTTTTTTCTTTTTTTTAATCATTCTTTTGTTGTGAAATGCTTTTCTTTTTGTTGTGTATATTCTGGGTTGTGGTTTTGCTTGTTTTTTTGCTATGTCTGTTGGGTTTTCTGTGTTTGTTTGTAATTTTGCTAAGTAGTATGTGCTTTGAATGATGGTCCTATGTCTCTGTTTTTTCTGTGTATTTTCTGTTTTGTGGTTTTGCTAGTGGGGCTTCTTGGCTGTTGTTATTGGTGTTGGAGTCGTACCTGTGACTTTTGTTTTTTTTTCGGTCTCTACATTTTCTTTGTGTTGTTTCTGTTTGAGTCCTGTTTTCGTTTTTTGTCCCTGTCCTCTCTTTTTTGTGTATTGATTGTGGTGCTTGGCTGTATGTTGGGTTCGTTGGTGTAGTTTTCTGGTTCCTTTTTTGTCTTGGGTTTCATTGGGTCTTATTGATTCCCTATTTCTTTTTTTTGGGCCTGCGTTTTTTTCTTTGCTCTTTGCTTTTTTTGTTTTCTTTTTTTTTCTCTTTTTTGTTTTTTTTGTTCTTGTTTTGGGTCTACGTTGTGTGTGTGTTCGTGTGTCTGTGTTCTCGTGTCGGATGCTCTTGTGATTGAAGGAGTCCGTTGCCCTTATCCGTTTTTTCTGTTGTTTTTGGGTTGGTGTTTTCGCATTGCGTTGGTTGTGCTTTTTGAGAGCGTAGGGTGTTTTTCAGGTCTCCTTTGTGTGCTTACTCTTTGGTCTGTGGTGGCGTTCCTTGTAATGATTGTGTTTTTTTTTTTCTGCTAGGCTCTGTGATGTGGGGATTTACGCAGTTTCCTTGATTCTCTTTGACTTCTCTTGTGTTTTTTTTGCTAGGAGTCTTGTTCTCTGTTGTATTCTTTTCTTCTCTGGCCACTTTTAGGGTATTTTTCTTTTTTTCCCTTAGTTTTTTGGTTTCTGTTTGTCTTTTGCTTTTTTCTCATCTTTTCAGTGATTTTTGTTTCTTTGTTGGTTTTGTGTTTTTGTTCTTGTTATATCTAGGTTGCGTTTGTGATATGGGTCGGTGTATCGCTTGTGTTGGTGTGGAACGGTGTCTTTTGGCGTGTCAGTGGATTTCCTTTTATGCCATTTGCTCCTTTCTGTGTGTTTCTGTTTGTTGGAGCCTTTCTGAGCCTGTGGCTGGCCAGTGCTTTCCTTTTTGTCGCTTTTGCTTGGCTGTCTTTGGATAGTTGCTATTTCCATTATTGTATGTGTGTGGCTTGCCTCCTTGGTGAGCTTGGTGGGTTTTGTTCTCTCCTGTCTGGGTTGCGATATGTTTCCGGTTGTTATATTAGTTTGGTTTTCTTTTCGTGTGCGGATTTGCTGTCTCAAGGTTTATTGGTATTGGGTCTTTTTGCAGACATTGGTTTTTTTTATGGTCAGTTTTATATTTCTCTGCTTGTTCCTTTTTTGTGTTTTGTGATTTGGTAACTTCTACTCGGGTGGGCAATATTCTTGTTTATTTTTCCTTTGTTGCGTTTCTGTGCTGGTTTGATTGTATTCTTGGCAGGTGAGGTGCCTGTTAGTGGAATGAATTATATTTGTCTCACTTAGTGCTTTTGTGGTTTTAGTTATCCGGTTGATATTCTTTTGCGCGAGAAGCGTATCGATGCCCGGTCCTGGTGTTTGTTCGCATTTTTTTTGATGGTCCCTTGTTGTATTTCCTGTTCTTGTGGTGTGGTATGTGGTCGGGTTTCTAGAGTTTCCCTGGTGGCTATGTGCGTGGATGGTGTTCTGGTTTTGGCATGTTCGGTTGTGGGTTGGTTAAATTTTTGTTGTATGTGGTACATTTCTTTTTGAGTTAAACGTTTTTTTGTCTTAAGTGATACTTATTGGTTGGATGTTTTGTTTGTTTGGAGTTTTTTTTGTTTTTTTGATTTGTCTTTTTGAATTTGTTTGTCTCTCTGTGGCCCTTTTCTCATAGTTGTATTGTTGTTCGTGTTAGCCGCTACTTTTTAGATTGGTTGTTTTTTTGATTGTCAACCTTGCTGTTTGTGCTTTTTTTCCTGTGGTTTCTTTCTCACGGGGTCTGCTAGTGTGTTTCCGGTGGGTTGTTGATGCGTAGGTGTGGCGCGGCGTCTTTTATTTTCTTTTGTATTTTCCTGTTTTCTTCTGGTGCTTCGTCCCTTTTGAGTTTTCCTTTTTTCTTTTACCTAGTTTTTAATTGCTTTTTTATTTTTTTTTGTTGTGTTTGTCACTATTCGTTAGCTTCTTGGCTTTTGTTGTCTTGTTTCATGGTTCGTTGTTTGTGTCTTCTTTTTGTTTTTTTTTGGTTTTATTTCTTTGTTTGAGCGCTGGCTGTGCCACCACTCTGTGAGCCTGGATTTTCTCAAAGAACTCTAGAATCAGCGTATTTAAATGTATTTGAGGTCTAGAGTCTGAAGTGGTCATTTCACTGCTCTGGCTTTAGGGAGTATCGGTGGTGCTAGACAGAGGGCCACTGAGGCATGTGCATAAAACTCTGCAAACGCTGGACTCTGAGTGCCCAACTCCTTCCCAGCCACATGAAGGCATCAGTGGTCCCTCTTTTTCAGGCAAAAATTGGCCTTATGAGTATATGAACTGAGGAAGTATGTGGGAGCCTGGGACCCCTTCTGGACAGGTATATTTCACAGAGGGTCTGAAATTTTCACAGGGAGTCCTTCAGGTTTAATTCACCCGCGGCCAATTCTAAGGGGTCTTGGGCACTAAAAGGATGGCAGAAGGACTGCTAAGCTTCGGCCCTGGAGGGTGGCTGTGGAGAGGAGGACAGGCACACTGGGGATGCTGCTGTGGCCTTAGGATGTTGCATGTGGTTCCAAGGGCGCGAAGGTTCTGGGTTCCTGGATTGCCAGGATGGTGGATGAGGGGAGGGGAGGAGGGAGGGCAAAGGAGAGAAAGTGGAAAGGTGCAGAGGACCAATGTCATCTCTTCCTGGGATGTGCCTAGCCTTGGTTCTGAAATCCAGCCATTCAGATTCTGCAGATGTTTAGACAAGCTTCTGGGAAGAACAGAGACCCCTGGATCTCTCAGTCTCTGATTCAAACTCCCAGACCACCTACACTGCAACTCCTTCTCTTCAGGGGAGGCTCTACAGGGTCTTTGGGAAAAGTGAGAAATGATAAACTCAGAGCTTAAAACTTTCTAAGGAGTCTCTGCTACTTGTATCTTTAAGCAGGGCCGTGTCCCACTGCCTCTCAGGGGACTCTGGGATGGAGGCTTGCATAGTCTCTGTATGGGTCACA